GAAACAATTAAAAAAAATTAAACAAATTCAATGTGATATATGTACGTACTTATTTTGATATATAATATATATGTCGACTACTTGTAGAAATGTGCGGACTATCCACAAGCTCTCAGACACTAAGCTGGCGACTACGCTTTCGAATCTGTCGAAATATTTAATCTATTTTGGCACTGCTATGACGAAGAACAACGATATCAACCTAGAGATCAAACGAAGAATTACCATTACCAATAGGTTTTTCTATGGGCTCAGTAGGCAAGCCATGGGATGTAGAGCTTTCTCTTAACAAACAAAACTTACGCTCTATAGGTCGCTCATCCTGCCTCTGCTTCTGTATAGGGCACTAGCAGGGACGTTACTACAGAATAATTAAGTAGCAGTGGAAGATCTTTGGTTCTCTACAAGTTGGCGACGGCCACCGCAACTGAATTAACTACTAACTGTACGAACATTATCACGACATTGATGTAATTCAGCAAATTAACATTAAGCGACTTCGCTGGCTTGAACATGCCGTGAGAATATTTAAATATGTTCCAACAAAAGAGTGTTTGAAGCGGTAGTAAGAGGAAGAAAGCGTACAGATAAACCGTGTCTTATGTCGAGTGATGAAGTTGAGGCAGCACTAACCGGCCTTGATGTATAAGACTGGCAAAAGCACACAGGCAGCAGAGACGGTTGGAGAGACATGCTGTGTCAGGTCGAAAACCAGTAATAGGTTATTAAGCCTATATTAGAAGTACATATTATATGTACTTATATTAGAATGTAATTGTACGTTAATCTTACAAATATTTTATATTTTAAAAATATATGATTATATATAATAATAAATTATATCCTATTATTATAAAAACTTACTATTTGTATCAAAAAATATTTTCTTCCTATTATAATTACATATTCTTAATAACTACTCATAATTGTGGGTGTATTTTTGATTAAATTTCTATTTTCTTCTATATCTGTAAATTGTTTATTATTATTATTTTTATGTTTTATTATTTCCTTAACAAATTTTTAAAACAAAAACATTTTCTGTTGAATTAAATTATATGGAATAATTATTAAGAGTATTGCTTTTCTTTTTTTGATGTGTATGAATCAAAATATAATTAAATTTTTAATCGGTCATTATTTCAATAAAAGACACTAAATTTTTATTAGAATGCAATGTTCTTTCAAAACACAAACGACTGAGAAGTGTCGTTAATGCAAATTAATGAAAAAATTTATTTATTAAAAAAAAATAAAATATTTTCAAGTAAATATTAAACTCATTGAAATTGTCATTTTTTTCTTAAATCAATTATATTTATTATTAATTTATTAACTGATTTGGTTGTATAATAAGTACACTTTACAGATTTTAATTATTTAATTAGTAATAAAAATTAAGAAAAGTGTCGCAGTGACAGTCACACATACTGGAATTGGTTTTGTTTTTAAGATGACAATTTTATTCAATAATATTTATTTATGTGCTTATATAAATCAGTTAAAATATTTTAAATTATGGAAAAAAATAAATAAGTTATTATTTGCCCTTAAATTTAATTAAATGTTAATTTTGTGGGTAAGACTTGAGTTTAGATTTAACTTATGTGAACTCTGAAGACAGTTTCAATGCTTTATTCTCAAAACTTAGAAGACATTAAAAGGGAATATAAGTTATAAATAAATTAGTGTTTATTTTTAATAGATAATATTAAATAACAGTAGTATAATAGAGGAAAATTTTTAGTTTCTTCTTTAATGCCACCAAAGGTTACTGTAATCACCAAAAATTGGCTCTTTGTCTAAAATAATTTGAAAGAACCTTACGCATTACATATTTTAAAACCCTTTAAACCTAGGTATATATTCATGTTACCGATGTGCCTTTTATTTACAAATTTTATTTTTATAATAATTAAATTATTTATTATAATTCAATTGGCATAAATATTAAAGATTTAGTAGTTATCATAGGTAGGTAGATTATACCGGAAATTCCAAGCGATCCATTTAAGTCTATAGTATCATTACGTTACCATATTATTATTTAAAACCCAGGACGTTAGAACCATTTAAAACCTTTGGGAAAGCTTAAAATGCTTTTGTTCGTTCTCACCACAACTGCGGCAGATATGGTTGAAAGGGGGATTTAGTCGCTTAGCATGGTTACTTAAAATACAATAACCTGTATAGTACTTATAATAAATTTTTTTTTGAAATATGTTAGTTCAATTTTAAATAGTAATTCATTTTAATTGCTTCATTTTGTAAAATTTGTGTTTTTCGTAAAAATTACGGGATATTGTATACGTACAGAGGTAAGACTGTTCTATACATATATTGTAAAAGAAACCACTCAGTTTCTTAAATATAATCCTAATTAAATAGGCACGGAAGCAGCCGCGCATATAGGTAGATGTTGTGGTTATTTTTTTTATAATGTTAATGTTCTATAACATAATAAACGATATTATGCTAAGGGCTCTAAGGTAAGCATTTGGCGCATAATTTATGATAATGCTTACAAGTTAGGCCAAAAAATCAGTCTTTAGTCCGCCTTCTCTAGAAAGAAGGTGGACTTTCTGGAAGTTTTTAATAAAACTATTAAAAAAATATAAGCATTTGAGAGTTATGCTGGGTAATTGAAAATCTAATATCATACTACAAATAAGGAACATTTGTTTAGATTTCTATTTTCATAAAAGAATATTTAATAAAAAAAAATTGAGTATTAGTCCTGATTACAAGACATGACATGTTGAATGAATAGAATGAGTAGAACAAATTTTAAGCAACCTACAATAAATAAATATTCCCAGTATATTCAATAAACAAAAATACATTGCAATGTAAAGGCATCTATTTTTGTCCCATTCACAAACCTAAATCACTTTCTTAGACTGCACAACGAAGCGACGGTTTTCAAGACAATTAGTGAATTTAATAATAGATATAGTTTTTAAATTTTTTTTACATTAAGCGGCATGTAAAGCCCCTTAATCCTCCACGAAGAAATCACGGCTTGTTAATTAGTGTACAGCGGAATTTGGTGGCTTAAGCAGAGTAGCTGATATTACTCACAGCTGCTTTCATGGTGCATTAATACTATTAAAGGGAATGATTCAGCAGAGGATTTGCACCACCTTATACATTTCCTGGATGTATGCCTAACATTAATTTTCTTCGATTAGTTTACAATGGGTAATATAAATGGCATGTATAACTTTTTAATTGACTTGGGCTTCATTTAATAAGACCAGATCCTGAGAATTTGGTAGCAGGAACCAGACAAAGCTATATTGCACTTTTTTCTAGAAATAAATGAAAAATACGTCATTTGTACCTTTCTGGATAACCTGGTCTTCATATAATAAGACCAGATCCTGGGAACTTTCTCATTGAAGTCAGAAATGTTGAAGTGACTTGAAGTGATTTGAAAATTATTAAATTTTTAAGAATCATGTTACACATGGTCATAATTTTACATTAAGCGCAAAGTATTGAAATTTAATTAATATTTGCTCAAGGTAATTAAGCTTTCTGGACCTAGTTATTTAAGTATTATATATTTATAATATAATATATAATATATAATATTATAATATAATCTATTATATTATATAATTTTTATGTATGATAATAATATATATAAATATATTTATTAAAACTATAAATATATTTAGAATCTTGCTTGAAATTATTAATTTTCTTTAATTTGCTTGTAAACATAACATTTTTGTTTTTTTTAATTGCAGCATTCATCTCATGTATTCATTAATTTATTAATTTTTAATATATTTTAATATATTATAGTTATATCAAATATTTATATAAAATTAATTAAATAGTAATCGTCTTAATAATAATATAATTGGATAAATACCAAAACTATGGGACTTTTTCCCTAAGTAAAAAAAGCATGACAAAACTTTTATCTAATAAATGGAAAATTAATCTTAGTCATTGCCTAACCGTTCCGCTTAGCACTTATAATGATACTCAGTTCTCAAAGTGTATTTGAACGAAATAATAATTAAAAAAATAAATTAAAAATAAACCAATAAATTTATTTAACAATTTAGTAAAACACTTAAGTCAACACTAAGGCATACATGTGTTCTAGTGTTTTTGGTTTACTTAAAGTAATTGGCACTTTTATTTTTTACTTGAGCAACAATTCACCAAGTGGAACTACGTTCTAGTGAAGCGCAAATTCGATTACTAAGAGTTCCTATATGTGAATCTAGAAATTTATTTAATTTTGGTTTCCTTTGGAAAACTCATTTGCATAGCTATAAGTGCCTTGAGCCAGTGATTCCTGACCCTTGATGCAATTTAGTGTAGTGCTGAAGGGTTTTTGTGTGCTTCATCACTTGCACTGCATTTTTCCACTTTGTATGGCTTTTGGCTTTTGTTAGGTAAATTCATGAGTTCACCTATGCATGTTACATGTCAATAACCATGAGTAAACTGCACTATTGCTACCGAAACCTGTTACCGGATTTAACCGGTTGCATTAAGATTCTTCGCTTTTGCTCTTCATTAAAATGCTTCGATTATTGCATTTTATTAAATTAAATCTTTAAAATTATAACAAAAGGCGTGAATTTGTATTTGTTTAATTAATTCAAATTCAAATTTTAAGGTGTTTATGGCCTACACTTTTTTCGAGCTCAGCAAATTTTCTGTATATTTTATAACAATTTTATTTCCTTTCAACACAAAATGTTCGTGTAATTTTTTTATTTATTTTTTTAAACTAATTTTTTGTTCAAACACATAAAAGAACTGTGTTAATTAGCTTAGTAAACACAAATCTTAAAATCACAATTTTAACAAATTTTTTTGTGTAGTTTTTCATTATGTGGAAACGCGTTAAAGTTTGAATAGTCACTTCTTTTGTCTGGGAACTGGCACATTTGGTACATTTGGCACAAAAACGACTATCAGTCGTATCAGGAGCACCATAGTGCGGTCGTTCGTCTGGAATTCGTACTTGCCTCTTTTTTTTCAAACTTTGTTCATAGAACATGATACACTCATTTAACGGATCCATTGCTGTGAATTTTTTTTTCCAACATTAACCCACGATGTTAAACTTTAAAATTAAATACTGAAAATCACATCTGCTTGCTATATTATTTTGTATCTGAAAGTACGTATATTTATATCTGAAAATGAACTTGCCGAACGCGCTTAGCAGATACGTCTGACATATCTGAGAACCGAAGCAATACTTAAAATTCAAGTTGTGCGATCGCGTAGTTAAAGCGATCCTCGAATCACTGTCACTGATTTTATACGATATGCGTTCTGTTTTCTCTACCACACCTCGCATTTTGTTTATGAAATAGCGGTAAAGTTATAGACGGCAAAGTAAATGCACAGTTTGTATTGAATTCAGGGCTGAAATCTTATTATTTGGTATTTATTTGCATTTTTAATTACTTTTGATAAGGACAAATTGAAATTGATATTGTTAAATCAGCAAACACTCGTAAATGATTTATTATTTCAGTCACGGATAGCGATCAGTTGTGTGGTTATGATCTATCTGCAAATTGTCAGGTTTGCTCGTCGATCACGTTGATTTCTTGTGGGCTATAGTCTTTGACGTGTTGACGTAGAATGCAGATCAATTAGCAATAAAGTTTTTTACGATATATTGCTTTTGATCTTAGCAACAAATTAACTTAATTGTTGAAAAATATTTTTGGCACGATCAACAACAATACGATAACGATAACATATTGATTTAACTAACCCGTAATTAATTACTTCCAAACAATTAATATGTTATGATGTTTAGCAAATCATAAAACATTTTTAAAATTTCCATTTAATAGGCGTACAACCGAGTATAGACACTACAACCCAAGTTCTTGAAACTGCTTAAAATTTTTTTTACTAAATCATTGCAGTTGCGTTCTTATCTTCTCTATTCCGTTTTTGATTAAAAGGGGTTTGTGAGCGAATTTCTTGACGTACACTATTGATATGATTAAGTTGAGTCATATTAATACAATTCAAAAGAATTACTGATAATCCATTCACTATAGACTAATGTACATTAAACCACATAAATACTTTTACACCTCTTTGTACTCATTTATAAGTGTCTGAAGAAGAATGTACAAAGAATTTCTTTGTGTTCTCAGATAGCAAGTATTCATAACAATTAACTGCAAATTCGCTGACTCTGAGTAAATTAAATAAGACAAATGAAAACAAATAAATAAGCTGAATTGATTCATTATGTTCAGTAAATTGTAGATTTGCTCATTTGAATGAAATAATATACAATAAAATTGTAAGATGCCAGAAGCAATCAAGCAATTCCTTTATAAAGTATTAAACTTTTGTGGGTTCTATAATAGATTAATATTATTGGCGCCAATGTTTATGAAAAAACTTCTTAGGCTCTCACGTAAGCACGATCAATGTGAAAATGTTTTGCAAATATATATTTATATGCACTTCATACCCATTATGGTCTATCAACGATCTACGAGATAGAAGTTAAAACATTTCCGAGGTAAGACATTTTTACCTATTGTAGAAAGCGTGTCTAACGTAAACCGATTTCAAGTAAGACTGTTAACAAGTGAGTTTTTATTTGTGACATCCCGATAGAGTTAAGATCTGGTACCACGGAATCCAGGTGTTTACAACTGCTTCCTACATATAGGGTTGGCTCCATAAGAGAATATCACAGAATATATGCAATTATATTTTTATTCAATTGGAGTTAACAAATGGATTTTTATCTGCACCATCCCACCAGAGGTAAAATCTGGTACCACTGAATTTAGTAATCCCAACTGCATCCGAAATTTTTGGATGAATCTATAATGGAATGTCATAGAAGCTGTGTTTAACATCTAAAGTTATGGAGGAAAATTAAAAAAAATTCTATTTTTATTCAATGTGGAGTCAACAAATGGATTTTTATTTGCAACATCCCACCAGAGGTGAAATCTGGTACCATAAAATTCAGTAATCTAAATGTAGGGTTGACTTCTTCCTAAATATAGGGTTGACTTCATAAGAGAATCACATAGTCTGTATCAATACTATCAGCAAGAGTATCAGCAATTCTATTTTCATTCAATATAGAATTAGTTAAAATTATCATCCAGGTGCTGTTACCCAAAACACAACAGAAGTGTCTTTTCCCTCACTTTCCAACAATTAGGAACTTGTATCTAAACTTTCAATGGAACAGGCTGAATTCTTTTGCGGCATTTGGTCATCACGGCAAGTAAACACATAAGAAACTAGGGGGACCCATTTCCACTGGTTTGCAAAGTAGAATACAAAATATCGAAATATTAGTGACAAAGAAAAGTTAACACCTGAGATATTATAAAGTATATATATTCCCCATCAATTCGACGAAATCGAATAAATGAAGTCTGTCTAAATATTTACTGACCAGTCTATCTACCTTACTCTTCTTCTATCCATATATTTTGATTCACTCTAAGTTTGGAAAAGAGTCTTGAAACCCACACTTACAGTTCCTTTAACTAGATGACAGTTTAAGTCATATGACCGATATATAACAAGATAAAATCATTGTAAAATGATACAGTATAAAAGGCCGTGCTTTGGATAGCCTTAAGTATAACAAGGTAATAGTGCATAATACAAGGACAATTCTTTTACTTGAAATGTTCAAAAGTAATAATTTTGATGAGCAATGGAAATTTTGAAAATTTTGAGTAGTATCAGGGCTTTATAAAGAAATGATCGGAAGCTATTTAAAAAATTAAAGGAATTCATATAATGTTCAAGTAGCTCGAGATGTTTGAGTACCTTGAAGATGTTTGAGTAGCTCGGAGATGTTCAAGTAGTTCGGGGATGTTCAAGTAGTTCGGAGATGTTCAAGTAGCTTAAAGATGTTTGAGTAACTCGAAAATATTCGAGTAACTCTACAATGTTCTAGTATCTCAAAGATGTTAGAGTAGCTCGGAGATGTAAGATTAGTTCGGAGATATTCGAGTAGCTCAAAGATGTTCAAGTAACTTAAAGATGTTCTAGTAGCTCGGAGATATTACAGTAGCTTGGAGATGCTTGAGTACCTTGGAGATATTCAATTAATTTGAAGATGTTCCAGTAGCTCGGAGATATTAGAGTAGCTCGAAGATGTTCGAGAAGCTCAAAGATGTTCGAATAGCTCTAAGGTGTTCGAGTAGCTCGAAGATGTTCGAGTAGCTCGGAGATGTTTGAATAGCTCAAAGATGTTTGAATAGCTCTGAGATGTTCGAGTAGATCGAAGATGTTGGAGTAGCTCGGAGATGTTTGAGTAGCTCGGGGATGTTCGGGTAGCTCGGAGATGTTCGAGTAGCTTGGATGTGTTCGAGAAGCTCGAAGATGTTTCAGTGGCTCGAACATCTTCGCGTAGTTAGTACATCTTTGAGCAGATCTAATAGCTTCCAGTGTATCGAAGTTGTTTGCAGACCTCACTGTCTATTGAAATGTTTAACCTGATTAAAAATTCTGCTCGTATTGCAATTGTGTAATGAAGTCAGACGAAGATCTACGCTGACAGAGATCTAGTACCTAGATCATTTCAAATTTATGACTCCATAAAGAAGAATTATACCATTTAAAACATTAATAATATACAAATAAATAATTTATGTTCATTGTTATGTGAAAGTTAACTAAATAACAGAACATTTTTTTCATAAATTTTAGAGAATGTGTCATACATGCGAGTGTTCAGCAATTTTTTCTATTTTATTTGTTTATATTAATAATCTGTACTATTGTACCATATTTATGCAGTAATACATATGTATATGCTATGTATATTTATGTACCACAATTTTGTTTAAAACGTAAACAGTGATAATCTGTGTAGAAAACAATATTTATGAATTTCAAAAAGATTTGTATGTAAATATTTCTATTAATCTGAACTTTGTTTACGGCTGGAAATTTCATTGCCCCATAAAACAAGACACAAACAAAATACCGTCACTGGCGTTCTGTAAGCGAGGCGTTGTACCAGTTTAATTGCCGTAGTTAACCAAAAATTATATTTTATCAAAATTTTAGTATTAAACGGAATTGAAAGCCAAAATTTATTACCTTAGATTATTTACGACGAAGTCGGAAACACAAAAGCTTTTACGTAAAATTTATTTTATCTATTTTACATAAATTTTTTTTTGTTTTCACCAAAAAAAAATATTGAGTTCAATTTGTTGATTCCAAATCGATTTTTAAAAATTCACTTATATTTTAATAATTTTTAATTATAGTATATTTAATTATACTCATTAATTACAGCAATTAATAGCTTCACTTAGCACTTAGCTTCCTTAATTATTATAATAATTAAAGTTATAAAATGGTTCACAAAATAAAACTTTAAAATTTAAAAAAAACTTGTATTGAAATTATTTTCAAATTATTATTTGGTGCTAAAATGTTACATTTTATATATAAATTATTAATATCACTTATGCACAGGCAATAAAAATGTGTTGCGTTATTTACAAAAAGTATTCGAAGGAACAATGCAGAACTGCCTTCAATCTTTGAGGAACTGCGTTGCGACTATCAGAGGCAGCTAAGCACAAACTTGTAATAATAAATTTTAATTAATTTAAACATATTTTTAGCAAAAGCGACCCAAGGTATCCGAATGCATAGCTCTAAGAATATAGACAACGCATAGATTACAAAGTACGTACACCCAAGCAGCTGGTGGCCTCATATCTCGCCTAACAATGCATAGCTAGCGCAATTAGTAAGTACACAAGTATATTATTTCTTCAATATGAATATAATGTGCTTAACAATGGACATGGCATGCACATTAGCCTAAAACTTTCATGTCGTATATATTTGATGAATTTTAAATTATTTTATGCAAAGTATATGGAAACACCGAGCGACAAATTTTGATAGGACAAATGGAAGAGTAGTAGATTTTGAAAATTTACATATGATACAATTGTAACCGATATCTTTTATTTCCAAAAAATGCTATATGTAATGTAAAGAATATATTTTTTTTAATTAATTACAACTCGCGGATGTTAATTCAATACTAGCTCTTCTCTTTCGAATTCTAGTGGATATCATCACATAACGTACATCGTCATCTGATATCCATTGACCAAAGCCAGCACAAAATTTATTATGCTGGGCGAATTTTCACCTAAATTTTTCCGCGGGTTTACAATAATTGGCTGTCATAAGAGACTGTTGAGCGTAAATCTGCAACCCATTGTTCTCCTGCATACCTGTATCTCCGGCAATAGTGAGTTTAAGTTCAAAAATAGAGATTTAAAAGGGTTGATTAAAACTATTTGGTCAGTTTTATTTTTATATTCTCCTAATAAATAGGTAAACATTTCTATATTGAACGTTCTTCCCTAAATTCTTTTCTTCCTACTCAAAAGAAGAGATTTTTCAAATATATCTTAAAATTACACGATGAAATGAAAAATTATTCTGAAAAATATTTAAAAATTGTGTCTTTTTTAAAGAAAAAGGGAACAGTTTTTTCCTCCTTTTAAAACAATTAAACTATATTACTTAGATTACCTTAGTAGACTTATTATAAAAATAACATACGTATCACAGGCCACTGTTAAAATAAGTTATTTAAACCCATTTCTAGCAAAACTTCGAATAAAATGCTAAAAATATTATAAACATTCTTATTATTACCACATAGAAGACTCGAACTATATTTAAAACAAAAAAAAAACCACATCCAGAAGTACTGGAGTTCTATATACAAAAAAAATTGAGGCTATAAGCTAAAATACCTGTATATAATCATAGATAAAGGGCATTCGTGGAACCCTCACTATCAAACAAATGAGATGAATGTTTCTCAATTTTAAATAATCTAAGATCACTTTTTAAACACAGCAAATTAAGCATAAAAGAATGCGTTGATCTATAAATTATGCGACTTCTTGGCATGTAGGTAAGGAAGGGGCGAGAATCAAAGGACTAGAAAGAAGATTGAGGAAGTACGAAATCTTTTTCTCCATTCCAAAATTAGTCCCTAGACTAAATTAAATCTAAATTAAATAATTGTAAATTACTTAAAATTATTTAAAAACCATCCTCTCTCCTCAATGTAAATTTCCGGCTATGGAAATGTGTTGATTTATGTCCCTAAATTCATTTTCAACAATATGTAATCAGAACAACAACAAGGATATTTTACATATTCCGGCGACACGTCAGAACCAAATAAATTTAGAATTTTGTTCTCATAGCCCCAATTACGGTTATTAGGTCTTAGAGTTCGAAGGTCTTAGATACTTAGGTCTTAGACACTCGAAGCTTTCCCGAATGAAGTGCTCATGATCAATCTATTATGTTAATCTCTTTCTTCTGTAGAACATAGACGCTTAGTTTTTGTCCAATGTAACTTGTATGGTTTAAGTGATAACTGAATCCATCTTACATTAGCGCCTCTTATAGTGTTGATGGCTTAAATGCAATTCCTGAGGTTTAAGAACCTGAAAAGGTGGGTAATGTTAACTTTTGCTAACTTTCCGAGATTTTTGAGCTGTGAGTTACGAAGAGTGGCTATTACTTTCAAAAACCAGGTTATGCACAGAACAAATGGAAAAAAGTTTCCAATTCATCCGACTAATTGCAACTATTACAGGGAGTATGGTTTGAGATTCCTATTTTGACAGCCTGTTCATTGAAGAGTAGAACTGTTATAATTTTACTAATTTTTTAATAATTGCTAAAGTTGGTGTTAAGTAATATAAACTTTCCGAGTTGTTATTCTTTACACAATATTATCAATTAAAAACACTAGCAGTTCATGTACTAGAATATTTCATTATACGATAGAAATTTTATTAAATTTGATTTTAAAGTCAAAGTTAATAGAAAATGTGGTATTCAATTGAGAGGTTTCTTTTTATATAAAAAAGTTTTTGTTGTTGTAGTACTTTTTAAAACTTCTCTATACGAATTGTATAATAAAAACAAGTTAAAATGTGCACATAGATAAAAGGATTATAATACATGTAGCATTCCGATTGGTAGCTTTCGCAGTCTGGGTATTATTTACATAACTTTATTAAAATTATCATTATGTTAGATGGCAACTTTAAGCTTATTTTCCTATTTTGTTCTGGAGCTAAAGGTAGTAAAAACAAAACCACAAATTTTCTTTCCCCTTTTGAAATGATGCTATTTAAGTCCTTAAGGATTAGCATACGAGTATGTATACTACAGAAAATGTGGTCGGGGACATTTGTTGCCAGTGTTTTGTCCTAGAAGTAGTTTTTTCATCCAATTATTCCTTTTTGGTTACAAAATATTTTTCATTCATATTTTTTCCTACGCTAAATCTATTCTTTGTCATTGAATGGCATTTAATGAACACAAAATTCTCTAAGATTGATGTTGTGTCCTTTATATTGATTTTCGGCAGGTAATTTCATCTCTAACCAATTAATTTGGTCAGTTTATCAAATTCGTAGTTTATTTGCTACTTTTTGCTCATACATGTGACATCAGAGTTTGTTCATAAATCTAGGCACTGCACAATATGTCAATCTATCTATTTAAATGTATTGCTAGTTAGCCTTTAATCTTCAGCAGATTACCTTCACGTTAGCATTTAGACTTGGTGCCGCAAGTGACCGAATGTCCGTAACCAAATTGTGGATATCAATCATATTCGCTTGCGAAACAGTTGACTTTTATGGGATCAATCCCAGCACATGTGCCTAACATTAACCTTACTGGATTATCATTAATTTCCCTTAATGGAATGGTTTTCGCTTTGTTGGTGTGTTCACTTGTATGAAATAAAAAAATAAAACTGCAGATACTTAAGTACGGAAGTTATTAATGTTTTTCCTCTTACTTGTTTTTCACTTTATTTAAATATTAAAGGCAATAAAATAAGGCAATAATATGCTAAATTAAATAATGTTAAAATAAATCTACTGAAATTAAAATTTATTAAAAAAATATACATGAAATACTATCAAGGTCAAATACTATTTGACCTTACATTTGGAAAGCCGAATGGTCACTCAAAATTACACAATAAGTCTTATATATTTCTAGACAGAGGCAGAATTTTGTCAATTTAAACACACTCATTTGGTTACGATTAGAGAACGGGACAAGAGTAGTTACTATATTTACTCTTGTCTATATATACATTTTTATTTCTTTCCTTATCAAGAAAAAATGACTTCTTAGCAAAGGTTTTACTTGCAAAAGAGTGATGGTGGAAGCAATGTTATTACTATAGCTAAGTATAGCTTTAAAGTATTCAATTAGTTAGCTATGTATAGCTAACTATAGCTTAGTCTTTATCTAGTCTCTATATTCATCCAATAATCAATTAGACTATTATTTAATGTAAATCAGCTAATTCTATAATTGATTTCTGATCTGAAGAAATGAATTTATTGTTCCGGCTCTTTTACTTTGTCTGTAGCGTTACTGTTATCCTCGATTTTATTTGGTAATAGGTCTGAAAATTATTTTTTTGCTATACCTATTACACATTTACATTCCTTATTCATTATAATATAATTTTGTTTGTGACAGATTTAATGCTAATCTACTATTTAATGTAGAGCCTTTTCCGAGTTAGTGCATCTGAGCACTTTCACTCTTTGATAGCTGCGGGGTTTCTGCAAAGTCCTACTCATCTCACTGACTAATTTGTGCATTCCTCATAAGCTTCCTGATTATTTAATGACTGGTCTAAGATCTGTGTACAGCCCCGCCTGGTTAGTGATTACCCTGCGATTAGACAGTGCTCAGTAGGGCAGTGTGTTGGTTTTCGTATAGGTATAGGTAGAAGGCATCAATAGCCACAGAGTAAGACTCCAACCCACTAAAATTACCTCTTAGAAATGATCAATTTAAATGTCAGTCATATGATGAAGAGAAACAGAATGCTGAAACAAGGGCGAAAGGGAAAATTAATAGACATCACATTTAGTTAACTAAATTTATCTAATCCAATACCCCAGAACGACGTTGATGTTGGAAGTTGAATAAGTGAAGAAAGTCGGCTAAATGCAACTTTTGAACTAAATTTGAATGCATTATTATATAAAACGTTAAACTTATATATTACTACCTACCTAGCAGTCAGGTGAAATGGAAAAATGGTGGATTTCTCTTTAATAACCTAAGAAAGTTGTTTTGATACCACATTTCTCGAAATTATAAGCAGAAAGTTTGGAAGCAGTTGGAGGATTAGTAATATATTAATATTAATTTGAATCCCCAATATTAATTTAAAAAATTTCACTGAGTGAATCAAAGAATGGGAAGCCAAAAAACTTACACCTACATAAGCGTGGATACAGACCAAACAGGTTTTCTGGTATCTTCTTCAGCGCCGGTCTATATTTACTATAAGAAATTGCACAAATTAGATTCACTCTGGTGTTTCCTTAGGGTCGATATTATTTTAGATACTAAATACAGACAGCGGAACCAGCTTTGATAGATATCTGACTAACAGTAAGAATATAGTCTTCCTTTTATTGAAAGCTGATATTCATAGTAAAAGAACAGGCTCTTAATTGTTAACAAAGTAGGTATAAGCTAGAATAAAAGTACCTGATTCGTTACAGCATATACTTGAGTAGATTGATAGAA